CAAATGGGAGACTGTAATGACAGACATATGGCACTTTAAGACATACAGGCACAAAATATTCCCATAATGCATCATGGTTTCCTCCCCTCTGCCCTGGAGATAATTGAGAAGTAATTCAATTATCTCCCAGAACAGAGGCAAATCGCCATTTTAAGTAAGCCACAAAAAACATATGAAAATAAAAAATAATTACACAACTACCGAACATATTACATTCGTGCAACGTATCCCCAGATAGCCTGGATCTGAGTGCATATTCTTAGCAAATAGCGCTCAGATCCCATACGCACAGTTAAAGCCCCATGGAGTCAAAGTCTTTTACAGTCTTTCAGTATGCGATTGACTCCATGGGATGGCTATCTGGGTTAAGTCCATTCGTGTAATCCAAACTCCCGAACGGCCGGTGTTCGTATGCCTTGTCGACTGAGAAGAGCGGTCTGTGGTTTCAGCGGTTTTCGGCAGAAAAAGAGTCCGTTTTAGTTCCATAGAATCTGCACTGAACACCACTTCTCTTCTGGGTGGCCGTCCGTTCGGTAAGTTCATTCGATAAAAAGTCAAACATACAAATAGGGGTATACGGACAGGCAATTCCACGAAAGGAAGGCAAACTAGACGAACCAGCAATAATAGTTATACAGATGGGTCTTTCACAAATACCACCCAAGCGCTTTGGATTGAGCAAACCGGAACTTGCTCTTCAGCATGTGAGTAGGTTTAACTTATTTATTTCTGCTTACACTCCTTTTTACGGTGTGCACTATTGTAGTTCTGTTTGTTTATCTCCAACTATACACGGATGGAAGAATTTATATGTACACCTGTATCCTTGAGTGGGGATCATACCACTTCAAGCGCTATCAGAGGACCAGGTTTTACGGCTCCATTACATGTGAGTGTATATTTTATAATTTTTACCTACCCTTGTTTCATAGCTCTACATACTTAACCGTATACGATTTTTATTTGTTTGTTTTTATGAGGATGCCCCCTTACTACACCTATAACTCGAAGAATTGCCTCTGCACTTGGTCCATAGGCGGGGATTATTCAGCCCAGGCTGTCAGGGTATTTATATCGGCAGACATTTTGTGCTATGATAGAAATTAAAAGTGTATACTCTGAGTCACTCTGAACAGAGCAGACTCCATTTTGTTATTTTCAAGTAAACAAAAAAGACACAACATTTCTATCTGTAAAACTAGCCACTTTGCCAGAGCTAAGGAATGCATAGCATAGTATAAACAAGTGATAAGGAAGGGGGTTGGATAGACTGTCTAAAAAGCTAATGGAATAGATCAATTCTAAACCCAGACATTTGTGACAGAGAAGATTAAATAATTTAATTTTACTGTCTAATTGTATAAGGTACCATTGTAAGTTATGGGTCAAAACTCAGATTTGCCAGACACATAGTCTGGACAAAACTTAAAGAACCCTTTGAAATTTTAAGTTATGGCACTATAAAGATAACGCAAAATGACGTCAAAATAGCCACCAGGAAAAGTTAACTCTTTCCTGGATAGTTTGTTTAGTGGGACAAGACTGCCCTCTATAGACCAAATACCTAAATTGCGATCTGGAAGATAACCACACCTCTAGTACTAATATTGGGTTATCAACTGATGACGTACAGAGAGTCTGGCCCTTTAAAAGTTAAGACAAAGGGAAGAGAGATATGCAGGGTATGAAAGGAGATGCAAAGGAGAAAGGAAAAGAGGAGAGAGGAATTGGAAGTTTGGGGACTCCAACCTCCATGCAGAGAGACATCCAAATAAGTTCCTGAGACTACCAATCGGATGAAATATATACTCAACTGGTAATTATACTGGTTTCATTTAATTAATTAAATTAATTAAAATGTATTAATAGCATTATATATGACTGGATAAAGCACGGTCAGATTTCCATATTAAGAAATCTTAGTTAACTAAGAATATATAGTTATAAACATTCCATTCTGCAGGTGGAATTAAGAATAATTATATATTAATGTGATATTATCACGTGTTAGCATACCGCTGTTTTTATCCAGGTGTATTGATTTGCTCTAATATAAGATAAGAGATCTATTTAGGCAAATTAAAAACAAACTCTGCTTATATAATATGGTAGATTCTCTTATTGGATGGTTCCAGGAAATGACTAATGAACTGGTTTAAATGTTATTTTATTTAAAATTACATAAGAATAGATCTTAACTACCTAGGAGATCTAGCCAGCATTGAAAGGGTTATTCTAACTGTTAGCCAGGGTTTTATGGCCCTTCGCTGCTGTGAAAAGTTTCGCTTTCTCTCTGTGTTAAGGAAAGAGTCATAAATCGTCAAAGTCTTGACAGCTAATGCTGTTTAAGCCATTGAAACGTATATAGCCATTCCTTTGTATTGCATACCATTTTATACTAAATATTAATTGATTATTGTCACGCATGTTACATAATATTATTTGTTAATTATTGGTTATCATAAATAAAATCTATTTTTATACATTGTGATATTAATTATATGAAATACTTTCACTTACGATAAACGTTCTTTGGGATCTGAGAATTGAATTAGTGGGCAATTCTCACTGTTACTATTATTATCCCATAAATATCCCCATAAGGCGCATACACTGGAGCTGTATTGTAGCTCCAGGAAAGTGTGAGTGCACATCTTTTATTTTACTTATCACCACTACAGTTTTAAATACTACACTACTATTTCTTCTCTGCTTCTCTTCAAATATACCTTTTCAAGGATTACTGAAGCACTGAACCTACCCCCCTGTTTTTATCCAGTGTTCTGATTGGAAAAGAGAGTCTCCGTATTGCTTTTGGACTATTATCACTTTGCTTCCACGCTGAATTTATTTTTGTGTGATAATACATTATCTTCCTTAATTATTTCACAGGCAGAGGGGAGGGATTGTGTACTGTATGTGGGAGTGTCATTCATTGTCACATTGTTTTTATTTGCTTGTACACTTTGTGCCCCTGTGCCCAACAAGGTCCACATGGGAATCACCCTTGTTGGGAAACCTGCATAAAAGGCCAGCTGTGGCTTCCATTAAACAGACTTACTTCACCCTCAATCTAGAGTCTTGTCTCTTATTGGGGGAAACTGCTACATTACTACAAGGGATTGCTATAAACATTATACTCCCATGGATTCTCTGAGCTCTTGTAAGAGCTATTCCTGCTTGACTCTCTGGAGTAAGAGAGATTTGCCCACTGTAACCTTGAGCATTGTCCTAGATCCAGGGTGGGTAGGAGATGACAAGACCCCAACCAAGCTGCGGTGGTTGTGAGGTCTGCAGTGTTTATGGTGTCTGGAGAACTGCTTGGATTCCTCTGTGAACACTAGGAGCATCCATTGGCCGAGGTACCCAACCGGGGTACAGGAAGCTCTGTTACAATACCATTGCCATGGTAAAGCATGGTGGTGGCTCACTGATGTTTTGGGAGGAGTGAGCTCTAAGGCACTGGGAAGATTGTGAAAATTGATGTAAAGATGAATGCAGCATGTTATCAGAAAATACTGGCAGACAATTTCCATTGTTCTGCACGAAGGCTGCACATGGGACACTCTTAGACTTTCCAGCATGACAATGACCCTAAGCACAAGGCCAAGTTGACCCTCCAGTGGTTACAGTGAAAGTTCTGGAGTGGCCATCAGAGTCTCCTGACCTTAATATCACCAAGCCACTCTGGGGAGATCTAAAACGTGGGGTTCATGGCCAAAGACTTGAGGCATGAACTGGGTGAATTTTGGCAAGAAAAAATGGGCGGCTATACCACCTGCAAGAATTAGGGAAAATATTACAAAAGACTGCACACTGTCATTGCTGCTAAAGGGGGCAATACACAGTATTAAGAAATAAGCGTATGCAGACTTTTGAACAGGGGTAATTTCATTTTTTTCTTTGTTGCATGTTTTATTTCATGATTGTGCCATTCTGTTACAACCTACAGATGAATATGAATCCCATAAGAAATATAAGAAATGAGTTTTGCCTGACCATTCATGGCTAAACAAAAGAAGCCTTCTAGGGAGAGAGTGTCAAGTTACTCTGATGGTAAGGGGGGGATGGGTAACCCCCCAGAATGAATGCATTATTAACAAAAAGAACACAAGAACTGACTATTTAGGAGATAAGCCCTTATGTACAGAGAGTAACCTTAAAAAAAAATAACTTTTTTAATATAATTGTAGAAAATATTTAAAATACATGATTGTGGATATAGTAAATCCAATAAATATCTATAATAAGAAAAAAATCCTACAAAAATGGGAAAGTATCAAATTATAATAAACAAACAATCTAAATAAAATAATAAACAGAAATTAAAAAAAAAAATAAGCAAGTATCAGATGCTGTTTACTGTAACTCAATGATAAAAGTGGAATAATTGCACTGAAAGTTGCAATGTGCAGAAAAAATGTAAACTAAAAATAAAGTAACTAAAGTAACACTTATTCTATAACTAATTAACCAGAGGGGGAGAGAAGAACCATGTCTATATTTCTTAGGGATGTGCATGGGCATCCTAACCCCTACCCCTACCCCTTACCCTACACAAAAACCCCAACCCTAACCCTACTCCAAACCTCAACCCTACCCCTAACCCTACCTACCACAACCACTTACACATCTAGGGGTAGTGTTAGGGTTAGGATTGGGGGTAGGGTTAGGGGTTAAGTGTAGGGGTTAGGGTTAGGGGTAGTGTAACGGACTGTTTTGCACACAAGGGGTAAAAACCGTTAAGGCGATCGTCCCCCTTTCCAGAGATGCAGGCACAGCTATTGTAACACACCAAACTCACGAACCGCCAATAAGTGAATGCTACAAACTCCCGAACGGCATCTAATACAGCACTCCAAACACACGAACTGGAACCATACGAATCACTGCTAGCAGACGAATAGGAAAAACATCCAAGCGGCTTACACTCCTAGCAATCAGTCTCTATCAGCCTTCAGTAAATCCCCCCAAAGACGAGACAAGGCTCCGTGTTGAGGGTCAAGCAGTGGTCTGTTTAATGAGGGCTACCTGCCCAGTATTTATGCAGGTCTCCCACCTGGTGGACACTCCCCTAGGGGACCAAATGGGAGACTGTGACAAAAGACAGACAATCAGCCAAACACATTATATTCCCACAATGCATCCTGGCTTCCTCCCCTCTGCCTTGGAGATAATTGAGAAGTAATTCAATTATCTCCCAAGACAAAGGCAAATCGCCATTATGCACGTGGGGATACTAACACAGGAATTACTATTAAAATGCACTATGTGAGACATATAACATTAAAAGCATACATTTAACATATCCCCAGATAGCTCAGGTCTGAGCGCACATTATTAAGCGAATGGCGCTCAGACCACACGAATACAGTTTAATTGCCAAGGAGCTAAAGTCTTTACACAGTCAGTTTCATGCGAATGAGCTCCATGGGATTCCTATCTGGGGTATAACACATTCAAGCAAAACTACCGAACACCGGGCCGTTCGTGCACTTTCACCGAACAAGAAGGGAGGTCGGCGGCTTCAGCGGTGTTCGCGCAAAACTGTGTCCGATTTCAGTTCCATGAATTAAGCGTCGAACACCGCTGTGCATTTGCATGTTTAAAATGGCCGCGACCTCGTGTTCGTGATACGAATGGCGGCCACCCAGCATTCGTCAATTAAGCTGGGGTGAACCGCAGCTTCAGGGAGGCTAATTGCCGACGCACTCCAGCTCCCAGGTGGTCCAGTCATTTGTGCGGTTGTTCGGTAGATTGAAAAGAATGAATAAATCTTTTCTGAAGGTAAAAAGATGTCTTTTAACAGGGGGCCATAGTCCAAAAGCAGCAGGTGAGCAACCATGCTTCTCCAATGCAATGTGGCGAGATTGGTCTCGTCACAGGGAGATTCCTGTCATTATTCACGTAATTTCCCCACCCTCTCTTGCCACATTTCAAAGTGAGTCAAAGCAGTTGAAGTGGCCGCCATTCGACATTCGAACATGTGGCGGCGGCCATCTTAAGCTGCGAGTACCATGAGTGCTGTTTGGTCGTCAAGTTCATGGAACTCAAATCGAACACGCAACGGCACAAACACCACTGAGTAGTTACCTTCCAGGAGTCGAACAGGAGTCGAACAGCATTCGGTGAGTTGAAGTGCAGGAACAAGGGACGCACATTGACTATGGTCATTCATCGTTATGTTCAGTAATTCGAACGGTACTTCGACTGTTTAAAATAGACCGGCCGCACAGCATAATTCTCTGGAACTGTTTTGGGCATGAACCCATGCGTGCGTTCTATCAAAAAGAGATTTCCAGGAATTTCCTGAACCCCTGCTCTGATTTGGGTGACTTTTATGGGGATATGTTGTATTTTGGGGTATTTATTGTGTGTTTTATTTCTGCCTGGGGATAATTGAGTTAAGGTAAAACACTTTTGATAAAGCCTTTCCAAGGAATGTATTGTTTATAACTTTTTTTATCACTATTTTATTATATATTGTATTACTTATTATTATTTTTTTTTTTTTTATTCTTTATTTTTCAGTGCATAGCGTACATAATACAGTGGTAAACCGTAGATAGAAAACATGCAGTATAAGTATAGAACATTGGGCTTGTGCACTATTTTTATTTTTTCAAGTTTGTGTAAGCCTAGGTAGCTTGTGTGTTGCGAGCGTGCGGTGTTCCTGTGCTGTCTTAAGGGTGATGTCTCATCATGCTGAGAGTGCCAGTGGAGGGCTACTGAGCTGGATACTTGGCATATGTGCCTGCGTACGTTTGTGAGGTGAGTTAGCAATGAGCGCATATAACAGTGCGGGCTCTGTTAGTATGTGTTCGTTGCGGTGGCAGAGCGTGTGATATGCCGTGGTTAGGTCTATGCGCTGGGTGTGTTCACTCCTAACCGAGGGAGTGGCGGGGGGGGTGTCGGCACGTGTGCAGGATTCTGGGGTCACCCATGGGATTATGTGTGATGGGAGAGGTCGTTCCCTGTTGCGGGAAAGGTTGGTGTTGTGGTGGTGTCTCTGACCCTGGGCTGTGCACCATGTTGCTAGCTTTTTCTTAATGAGCAATCTTGGTGAGTGAAGTAAAGGGGAGAGAGAAGGGAAGCACTTAAGTGTATGTTAATATAGTATAGCTGAACTTACTATTCTGAGCCTAGAGTCCTGAACATGTGGTGTCATGGGAAACATGGAAACGTTGTGCAGGGTAAGTAAGTCTCTGACAGGTTCTTCAAAGCCTTATGTCGGATCGTTTCTTGAACTTGTTCCTGGTTCCGTCGCTTGTGTGCTCTCGGACCTCGGGACCAATGATGCTATGCGTTCTGGGTTCCAAGTGGTCGCGGCAGTGGAGGCTCTCTGGGGTGTGCTGACCGCCAGGGGTGCTAGGTCTAGCACTGTCAGGAATGGTGCTGCGTCTTCTATCGATGTGAGCGTGTGCAGGCTTTCATTTCGGGTCACCATCAGGGATCCGTTTGTTCCCCACCTGTAGCTTATGTTTGCTGATCGGAGCTGGTTTGTCACTGGATGGAA